AATACTGTACTGTACTGTACAGTATTTACTTGAGAAGAATATAACAGAGAATAAACTGCCCAAATACCCTTAAACAAAGGAAAAGTACGTCCTTTATGAAGGCATAGAGCCACTACATGAAAATGAAAATTAATGAATACACTGTGTACAGTAATTTACCTGATAAGACAGACCTCAGAAAAATACTTTATGAGAGCTTTTATACTTTTATAAAGCTGTCTATAATGAAAATTAATTAACTAAGGATTTTTTCGCCCTGCCAAGGTGTGGACCAGTTATCCGGAGTGCTAAGTTATCAAGGGACGAGTTTTCGAGGTTCTACTGTATTGTATGCAAATTAATTTACATCAAGTTTTTGGGGTTCAAATTAAATGTATGTTCCAGATTTAGTGTGGACAAAAAGTTGCATCTCTAATACCTGATAATTACTAATCACACACTATTTATTTAGAGTATCTTATAAATAAATGTTTATCAAAAAGCATATTAAAAAAAATTCTAAATTATTCTTTTTAAGGAAATTCAACAAAACAATAAAATAATAAACAAACTAAACAATGATGGATGATGATTGCATTTATGTAAACCTTATATACATAATATTTATTTATTTAAACCTTTATATAAGTATAAATATATATTTATTTATTTATTTTGATGCCATTAAAGATAAAATAGTGAATGTATAAATAGCCAATTGTTTTTACATATGATGTGGCTATTTTTACATACATGATTTTAAAAGTTAACAGGGAATTTGATATATTGAAGAATCTTTGGATACATTTTAGTCATACTTGTAAAATAATACATTTCTAAAAGACTTAAACCAATTTCATAAGTAACTAATTGCAATTTTATGATAAGTTATTGTATTATTTTTATGGTGAAAAATTAAAAAAATAATTCTAATTTTTAAATTTTAGGATGAAATGCAAGATATGCTTTTGAAAATATGTAATCAGTTATCAGAATCAAAACAGGTAAATTTTAATGTAACTAACAAACATTTTAACTTGATACCTTGGGCTTCTAATTTCAATCTAAAAGAGAAATATTCTTTAAATGATTTTTATATTTATAAATAACAAGAAAAATCAAACCGGGTATTTATCAAGCATTTCTAAAATTAATCTTACTAAATAAATTCAAAACCTTTAAATAATCCAGCAAATCGTTTTTTAATATCTTAAAAACGCTTTCGAACGCTTTAAGCGATCATCCTCAGTTACCATTTTGAATCGAACGAAGAATTCGAAATTACGTAAAACAAAATTCAAAAAGCAGTTACAGAAATGTACGTTAACATTTACCAAGTTTAAATAATTGCAAAAATTATACAAGTTAATTAAACCGAAAAATAAAATAAAATATATATATTCAGTAAAAATTATCTTAGTTATTCTTCCCGCTTACATAAACTAAGTCAAATTAATCTTACTATATTCCATTATGTAATTAAGTGATAGAAAGTAAACAAATAATCAACTACCCTTAAGAGAATGAAATTATTATTTTGAAATCAATAATTTATTAAGAATGATTTAAAACTGCAAATTTAGTCAATTTAATATTAATGTATTTTTATTTATTAACTACTTTCGAATCCATTCATATGAGATTATTTTATTTGTTTACTCTAAAATGTGGCATGAGGTTATTTAAGGAAAAATTTAACATCTTGAATTAAATTTTCGCATATGCTGTTATTATAATAAATATTAATAAACTTTTTGAAATAAATTTTTAATAATGAAAATTAAAAGCCTGTAAAAATAACAGAAATTTTAACAATAACAAAAACTAACTTTTATCAACTTTTTAATTTTTCCTAAGTTTTTACATTTTAAATGTTTAAATTTATTTTTGGTAGTATGAACTAATGACTTTATAAGCCATATTCAAGAGTATTATCAAAATACAAGGTCTGTTCAAAAAGTATCGGACCTTTTTTTTTTCTGCGTAAACCAATGATGTGCGAGAGGCCTCCTTCAGTGGAGTTGTGGATGGGGCAGTCATGCACAGCCCTGAATTTTTCCCCACCTGCAGGAAGCGTCAGTTGTTGGCAATTGGCCTATGAGTGAGGTCATGTAGTGTGCTCTCGTCGGATTTCACTAAGCTGGAAAATGACTGAACAACGTGAGCAGCGATATTACATCAAATTTTGCGAAAAACCTTGGCGATACCCGAGCGTAAACCATTTGCAAGATTCAGCAGGCTTTCGGGGACGATCCTCGAGGCCAAAAAAAGCGCGGCAGGTCCGCAGCAATGTCAAAGGTCATGTTGACAGTTTTTTCGACTTTCGTAGAGTGGTGTGTCGTGAGTACGCACCACAAGGCCAAACCATCGCAAAGGAGTACTACCAGGAGGTCCTTCGTTGTCTTTCCGATGCTGTGCGACGCAAACGACTGGATCTGTGGTCGATCAAAACTTGGCAGCTCCATTGTGATAACGCATCCATCCATTCTGCGCATCTGATTCGGGCTTTCGTCGCCAAACATAACACTCCTGTGGTTCGTCACACTCCGTACTCTCCCCATATGGCTCCGTGTGACTTTTGGCTATTTCCCAAGCTGAAAATGCCGCTAAAAGGAACCCAAATTTAGTCGAGAGAAGACATCGTGCAAAATCCGACGGAGCGGCTGATGGCCATTCCAAAAGATGCATTTCAGCAGTGTTTCCAGCAATGGCAGGAATGCTGGGAGAAGTGTATACATTACCAAGGAGACTACTTTGAAGGGGATTAGGGTTTTGTACCTCAAAGTCAATAAATTTATTTTTACCGACCAAAGGTCCGATACTTTTTGAACAGACCTTGTATCTTTTTCAAAAGAAAAAAGAATATATAAAATTCAAATATCGATTTTTAAATGTCTTTACGTTAAGCAAACATAGTTTTTGAACCTAAATGTGTTAGTTTTTGCATACATGTGATGAAGTTTTAATTTAAAATAAATACAGAAAATATTCTCAATATATAAAATATGAATAAAGAAGAAATAAAATATGAAAATGGATAGCTACGATAAGGCTAAGTAAAATAAAGTATAAGTAAAATGGCAAGTCTGTATTTGGGACAAGACTATGCCTTGGAGACTACTAAGTGGGATCACTTTGATGCTCACGATAGGTCACGTTCTCATTCTCCAATCTTCTTTGGTATTGCTGGTTTTGAGCGTGATTGTTCAAACCTCACTAGCTGCGGCTACGACCACGAGGTCGTCCACGATGCATTTTCGGTGAAATTAAACTATCCAATGTCGAAACTTCTCTGTAGCATGTTGTGCCGGGTTGAATTTTGGCATTGCCTAATAAAAATTTCCCATTTTTGAAAAGAATAATCCTGGCTATTGTGACGTCCAAAATTATTTTTTTTATTTGCACAAAACCTTGATGTTTTTAACATTGGTTCAAAAATGTTTTTGTAATTGTCTACAAAGTTCTGTACTGTGCAGAGTAATCCTAAAAACAGACTAAATTAACTTGTTATGAGCTATAACCAAATGAAAAAAACATTATATTTCAGAAGTTAGTTTTAATATAAAATTATAACTAGAACCATCTACTTTCAAAAGTGTTCCAATGTTGAAACAAGATATGTCTGGTCAAGGTCAGCACATTGCGACCAGAGATGTGTTGGGAATAACATGGGACAGGTAAATGGGTTTTTCAAAGATTTGTTTGTCAAAATTCAATTTTGCAATGTTTACATTTCCAACTTCCCAATGAGCAATGTGCCTGTTTGTAGAAAGAGTGTCGCCATTTTGTAATTTATTTTGACTCAGTTCTCGGTTTCGTAAGTATATACAAGTCTGGTTTTTTTTGCATGCATGATTTGGGTGCAAAATACTCTGTGCCAAATTGCAACTCCTGACATGTACTCCTTCATACCTCTAAGCTGGTAAGCTAGGACAGCACTGCAATTTTATAAATAAGACAGTCTTGTCAATAAATGTGGTTAAAACAAAAATAACCTTTAAGTTTTATCTAGATTTAACTTTTTATAAAAAGTGTTACTTATATATCGGGAATTTTGACAGCGGGAAAATCACAGGGTTTTAATAAAGATATGTGTAACGACTCCCAGACAAATAATAATCTGCAATCTAAACATTGCTCGAGAATGGAAGTATGGCATCCATAGTGGAGTAAAATTACACTGCTGGCCATTAAAATTGTAACACCAGGAAGGAATGATCGTATGAACATCAAAGTCATATGAAAGGAAGAAGAGGTTGGGATATGCAAATGATTAGTATTTCAATGCATTTAGACAATGCAGGAGGGACAAACAACATCTGAAGCACTGCATAAAAGAAAAGTTGTACAGTGGATTTCTCATTCAGAAATCACTTTGTAAGGTTGGGGTTTCATCAGAATATCGTGTTACGCCTTGAATATGAAGAAGAAATGCTTACCAGCAAGTGTTGGAATTCGATAGAGGCAGGATCATTGCCTATCGAGAGTGTGGATTATCATTCTGTGATATTGCTACTCGCACTGGTTGAAATCCAATCACTGTCATGCGAATATGAAATCGATGGGTTGCTGAGGGTCTTACTGAACAGCATGCAGGATCTCAATGCCCTCCCATGACTACTCTCCATGCCCAAGAGGACAGACATATTGTGAGGTTGGCCATGCAAAACCATACAACCACATCACTGACCATTAGTCAGGAAATGAGCTTGTTTGCAGCACGTCCAGTATCTGCTCATACGGTGCAACGATGTTTGCAGCAGCGTGGACTGTCAGCATGGCAACCATTACTTCGGCTTTCGTTGACAATGCAGCATAGAGAGAGACGGCGAATCTGGTGCACCCAACAACAAAGCTAGATACAGGAGTGGCACAATGTCGCCTTTTCAGATAAGTCCCAGTTCTGCGTGCATTCTGATGGCCGTATATGTGTCTGGAGGCTCCGAGCAGACCGCTCATCGCCTGCTTGCATTTGATATTGGCTTAGGGGCCCTGCACCTGGTGTAATGATATGGGCAGCCATTGGGTACACGACACGCGCATCTCTAGTTCGGATCGATGGTAATTTGAACTCAGATCGGTACATTTCTGACATCTTACATCCAGTGGTTGTGCCCTATCTTCGAGGCCTGCAAAATGCCATCTTCCAACAAGATAATGCAAGACCTCATGTTGCACGTCATGTTCTGACCTTCCTCGATACAGAGTATATTCAATTGTTGCCCTGGTCTGCACGGTCTCCAGATCTCTCACCAATTGAAAACATCTGGTCATGGGTTGCTGAGACTGGCCCGCCACCTCTCTCCTGCTAATACAGTTGATGAAGTATGGCATAGACTTGAAGCAGCATGGAATGAGTTGCCCGTTTGTCATCCAAGCCCAGTTCGACTCCATGCTTAAACGGATAAGGATCATTTTAGCCGCCGGGGTGGCAACTGTGTCTACTAGTTTCACGCCCCTGTAAATTCCCAAACTGCTTGCAAATTTAATCATTTTGTCTTTATGCCATACTGTTTATGTACAATAAATATCTTTTTTTTATTTGCTTTCCTTCTTGGTGTTGCAATTTTAATGGCCAGCAGTGTATTTTCTAATACATTTTTTGCAAGATCAATGGAGGGTGTGTTATTTTTAACATTGTCTCGAGTTCATTTTAGTGGTTTAATAACTTTCTAGTTTTATCTAGATTTAACACTTTTTATAAAGTGTTAAATCTAGATAAAACTTACGGTTATTTTGTTTTAACTGCATTTATATTTTATTTTGCTTAGCCTTATCTAGCTATCTGTTTTCACATTTTACTTCTTTATTCATATTTTATATATTGAGAATATTTTCTGTATTTATTTTAAATTTAAATCAAAACTTTGTTACTAATACTTATGTAAAAGGTCTTTGCTCCCATTTGCACTTGCTGTAATGAGACTACATAACTCCAGACTTCTCCAAAAGGATAAGAGAATCCCTATCATTATGTATACTTCTGTAGAGTGATAGCTGTAGTTTGATGTTAAGTATGGCCCTGTGTTTTTTACAAGCCCAAACTGTTCATAAAGTAACAGACTCTAAGTAGAAAGGTCTTGAGAACAGGTTGTTGATAAATAAATTTGGAAATTGTATACCCAGCATTACATACAGTGGTAGCCACCATTTGCAGTTTATATTGTATCAATGCCAGAGAAGAGGGATACAAGTATGTCCTGCAAATTAGAGTGGATATAGCTGCATTTATGTATCCAGGAGACGGAAGAAAGAAGCCAGTGTAATATAAGGATCTGATACTTAACATTGTACAATTTAAGGATCTTAAAGTTATGAATTTTATTGACTTATTTTTATTTCTAAATTAGTGGTTAATGTACTTTTAAATTTTTACTACTAGAAGAAACTTTCTTACAGTTGTAAAATCAAAAATAAACGTAGTTTAACCAAAAATTTGATTTGCAGTAAAAAATAATTAAATGTTGATTGTAATCACCTTTTTAAATAACTGATCCTTGAAAGTAAAAATTACAAATTAAGTTTTTTTATGAAAACAGGAAAGCTAAACCCTTAATAAGAGCCATGTATAAACAGTGGCCATTTTTCTCAGAAATGTTTTTTGAACAAAAAAGCATACAGAATAACCTGTTTACCCTCAATGATGACTCTGGCTGCTAAAAGTCCTATTTTTAACTGTTTGGTAACAGTTTCTGCCCTCAAATTGACACACAAAAATAACAATGCATTGTACAAAATTAACCATTATTGATAAAATGGCAAGTTTGGCTTTTTCGTGTGGTTTGATAAACTTGGCTGTAAACATAATTTTTTATTAAAAATAATGAGGCCTTGATGTTTTTAACATTGGTTCAAAAATGTTTTTGTAATTGTCTACAAAGTTCTGTACTGTGCAGAGTAATCCTAAAAACAGACTAAATCAACTTGTTATGGGCTATAACCAACACTAAAATATGAAAACATGGAACAGTATTTTCTACTGGTGGTGGTAATAAAAAAAAATTTGAACATAAGGGCTGACTACATTTTAGGTGTTTAAAAATTTGAAGAAATTTTTTAACTATCACTGCCGAAAGAGGATGCTATTCTTTTTCTGCATATTTTAATGTAGGTCGTAGCCTACAATAAAACATTAATCTGTTTTTTAGAAGTTCTCTGCTCATTAGAAGACTTTGTAGAAACATCACAAAAAATTTTTTACAACTGTTAAAACTAAAATAAATTAAGTTTACCTTCAATTTTATACAGTGCAGTTTTTTGCTCTTCTTCAAACAATGACTGTATTTTATGTTCCTGTCACTGTAAAATGTAATCATTCAGAGGTTCGGTTTGTAAAATATTTAATTTTTCTTTACTTAAATACCAAAAATTTTTTATTTTGTAATCTAGATTTGCAGTGCAAAAATAAGACTAATAATTTATGAATACAATATGATCTTTAAAATATACCTCAATAATTGAAACTGGATGATGATAATTTTGCAATTGCTATAATTTTTTCAATATAAATTCAGTATTTTAACATATTAAACTTCATATATTTTTCAGTGTACAACTATGGTCAAGTCTTTTCTACCAATAGTATATGATTTTGTAACAAGTATGGTAAGTAAAAAATTTTAAATGTTTTTTATTGTTTTATTTCAAATTAATAAATAGAAATTTATATTTTAGAATGCAGCTGATGTTTGCAGCATGATTGGTGAATGTAGTGAAACTTCTGACAAAGTAAAAATTTTAAAATTATAATTTTTATATCTTAGTTATGTAGATTAATAAAATCTCATTACAAAGATAATGTTAGTTAAAATATAGCTAAGTGAAAAATATTTCATTTTCAGAATATAAAAAATGCATATAACTACAGTATTTTTTTGCATATAAGACATACCCCATTTCAGCACAAAATATTTAGGGAAAAATTTAAGTCAACCTACATACAGGTATACCTCAAGTTACGTCATTTGTCAAAAAATATATGGAAAAATAAAAATCAAGTCATTTTATTTGACTTTACGTCTGTCTGCCACAAATATTGAAGTCGTAATATCACTAGAAAAGCGTTAAAGCACATAAAATCATATTAAAATATGTAGATTTACAATAAATGTTAATATAATCATCATAAATTCTAGAGAACGAAACATGAAAACATCTATGTTTCTGTGTTGTCGTCTTATTTAGCAGTCTTTAAGTGCTCAATATTGGTGTTTCGACTTACGTCATTTTTTGACTTAAGTCGCCTCTCCTGGAACCAATTACCGACATAAGGCGAGGTATAGCTGTAGTTATTTTATTTCATTATTAAGAATTGTCTTGCAGACAAAGGATTTCCTTCTCCCAATAACAATATAAAACCGAAATTGTAACAAAAATTTAAGAATAATTATGACAAGGCATCACATAGAGATAATAACACATAAGCAGTATCCTTTTGTCAGCATTTAACTTTGAAGAGTTACATGCATATGACGAATGATCGATTTGTAATAATTGGCTCACATTGTCTAATATTTACAATAATTCTATTTTTAAATAATTAAAATTTATAGTAATATGTTTAATTAAACAATATTTTTACTCAAGGGTGGGCTAGGTAGAGGTAACACTAGCATACTAAAGACCATTTGGAGAATACATTAGTCTATAAATAAATTAACTTTTTGTGTATATAATAATAATAATTTATTATTATACACACAAATTAAGATCTTGGCACAGACAGATTATTTACACAGATGTAATCAAGTAGCAAATATAATACACCAAGAGCTTGCAAAGAAACACAAATTATTAGACATCCACGAATCATACTACAAATACAGCAAAGATTAATTAAAGAATACCAAAGTAGGTTAAACGCTATTCTCAGAACACAGTTAAATGCAAAACACAGTTAAAACAATAAACAAACACATATCATCCCAATACTCATATATTCTTTTGGAGTTATACATTGGACTCACACAGACCTTGAGCAACTCCAAAGGAAACAAGAACAACACTTACTAAGCATAAACAACATCATCCTAAATCCTCTGTAGATTAACCCTTCTGTGTAAAGATGGTGTACGTGGCCTGATTGACATAGTTAACCTTCACTACAAACAAATACAGTCACTGCGAGAGTTTTTCTACAGGAAACAAGAAATATCACAATTACATAAAGCAGTAATTCTAGTAAACTCAAATAACACACCATTAAACTTACACTCACATCAAACAGACTTGACACAACATATAAAAAGCATAGACACCATTATGCAATCGTGGGCTCAAAAGGCACTCCATGGCAGGCATCCTTATGACCTGGCCTGGGATTTTTTTGACAAAACTGCATCAAACAACTGGTTAGATGGAGGATGCCTCTTTGGGGAGATGGAAGGATTCATGATTGCCATACAGGATCAGGTCAAATAAATACTAAAAACTACAGAAAAAACATACTCAAAGATACAACACTCACAAATGACACATGCAGAAATGTTACATTATGCCAGAAATTATGCAACACAACACTTCTGGTTGCAACCTCTTGGCACAGACAGATTATTTACACAGATGTAATCAAGTAGCAAATATAATACACCAAGAGCTTGCAAACAAACACAAATTATTAAACATCCAGGAATCATACTACAAATACATTTCACAGAGAGTATTGGAAAACAACACGCACAAAATGTACTAAGACAGAGCCATAATCACAGATAAAACAATTTACCACAACAGATCAGACATCACACTTATTGACAAACACAATAAAATCACATACCTTATAGACATAGCCATTCCAAACACTCACAATGTATGAAACACATGCACTGAAAAAATTAGCAAGTACACAGAACTCGCCCAGGAAATAAGGCATCTGTGGAGAATGGAAAGGGTGCTTATTGTACCTGTCGTTCTCTCCTGTACAGCTAACAACTAAACAAAAGCCTGGGAACATTACAATTGAATAGAAATACATACATAACACTGCAGAAGGCCACTATTTTGAATACATGCCATATTGTTAGGAAATTCCTGAATACAGAGACTGATACACTTATTTAATTTATGTTTTTGGTTGCTATGCCTTGACTCTGGTCTGGCATAGTACACAGCCACCGGTGTGAATTGAGTATAACTCACTAAACACAACAACAACAATAATAATGAAGACCATTGACTGTCATTTTTCAGGTTCCTCTTTCATAGTATTGATAGAATGATTGCAACTCAGAATAAACAGCAAGTACATAACACAAAACAAATATAACAAACAAAAAATCTTTTCATACATGCTATTATGTTGGGTTGTTGCAAATGAAATGACAGATTTTTACTTCTAACTTTAAATGTTTATTAATTTAAAATTTACATATTCAATCAAAATTATCTCCACCAACATTAATACACTTTTCCCAATGTAATAGAAATTCATTAATGCCAATTTGATAGAAATCAGGAGAATGAGAACCAAAAAGTCATTAAAGGTATTTTTAATTGGATTTTCTTCCTCAAAGATTTTTCTTGCCAAAAAACTGTCCAAATGTAAAAAAAAAATGTAAGTCTGTTGGCAATAAGTCTGGAGAATAAGGTGGATGGGAAAGAATTTCATTTGAATACTGTCATTTTTGTGACAAATACAGTAGAACCTCGATTATCCGGACTAATTGGGGATGAAGGTAGTCCGGATGAGGAAAAATCCGGATAATCGAAACAAATACTTTGTCTTTTCATGATAATACAACGCGTTTTCTTTTCGATAACATATCGGTAATATTAAAAGTAAATACTGTATTTAAATCGTGATCAAATTTTCAAGAAACAAACGTTCGTATTGAATTTGGACTACTACCGAGTTTCCCCGAAAATAAGACATCCTCAGAAAATAAGACCTAGCACAGATTTTGCTGAATTGCGAAATATAAGACCTCCCCCTGAAAGTAAGACCTAGCAAAGTTTTTTTTTAGTCGTAACGGTCATCGACAGATGGTTGAATGTGGCCGTTGGCATTTTGAAAGTACAGCCACTGATTGGTCAGCAGACAATTACGCCACGCGGCATGATTTGCATAAGACTATGGCTTGGGAATCACAGATTTGNAAGTTATGCATTCCATCATGTACATAAACAGTGTCGTAATTCGCCAAGTGCAAATCAGCAAATTCGTAAAATTTTTGTTTAATTTGAACAATCCGGATAATCGAAAATCCGGATAATGGAGGTCCGGATAATGGAGGTTTCACTGTAATTAAAGAACTGCAGACCTCCAAATGCTGTGCCTTATCTCTCTCACTGAGTTTGTGTGGTACCCATCTGTCGAGCTTCTTGACTTTCCCTAACACGTTTACATGTTAAAAGATGGTTGAACAATGTCCAGTGTATTCAGCCTTTTTGCAGTTTTTCGGACAGTATGCTGGTGATCTGATTTGATCATGATCTGAGTTCTGATTTTTGAAGATTCGCATTCCCAGAATGAAATTTTTTGAACAATTACCTGGTGGCCTGCTCACTCACAAAACTTTCATCAAAAGTTTTATTGATATTACAGGTTGCTTCAGCTGCATTATATCCCTGTTTATACTTGTAAAAGAAAATTAGTTTATTTTTTTTTTTTTTTTGTGCCATCAGAAAAAGTACTCTTTAAACGTGTGGTACTCACAATATAAATGAGATTACATTTTTTATTCACATATTATATGTGTGCTCTTCCAATTGCAAACATGTAAGACTGGTTGCATGGAAAAAAGTTGAACTAAAAGGCTGGGAAGTTTAACTATTTAAAAGTGGCCATTTCAATTGCAATTACCCAATATGTCGTTGTTATTAACTGGATATTTTGTTCAATATAATATATAATTCCAACAATTAACATCCATTTTAACAAAATTGTTAACATTTTCTTAGTAATCTGTTTACCAAATATCAAATATACAATATAGTTTTCATTTAAATGAGAGCTAATCAATCAGATTTTTTTAATATCTGGAATGAATGTTTCAGCGTTTACTTCATTTTCTATAAGACTTCTGACCAAAAGTTAATCTATTTTTTGTGACTAATTTATTATCAGAATTTCTTGTAGAATAGCTTGACTTTTTATTATATTCTTAATAGAATTGAAAAAGAATAAAAAATTTTTTGTTTTATAATTACATCTGTGAAAAAATAAATAAATTTTTACATATACTAGACATATGCTATGTAATCATTTAACTTTGAAACAACTAATTACAGACTCAAAAGGACTTTTATTTAGCAAAATACATAGGAACTGATTTTTTTTTATTAATTGCAGTTTATGTAAATAATACTCTGGGGTAGTGTTTCAAACCACTGAATTGTAATTTGACTGTATACATGCTTCATACAGCATTTTCAGAGGTTTTTTTTTGTTTGTTTGTTTGCTATGTTTTATTTTATTGAATATTTCTAAATATTGTGCTCTTTTATTTGTTTAAATAATTGAATGAGTTGAATCCAGGTTAAATTAGTACTGTTAATGTGTATTTGAATTTTGCCTAACTTTTTTATCAGTTTAGTTTTTTGAGATAATTTCTTTGAATCAATTTGGGCTGAACACTCACCACTGATGCAGGTTATGAAGTCTCTTTTTAAAAAATTATAAAAACTTGCTTGGTGAAATAAGATGTGTGATAGATATACATACTTGGTACAAAATATTGTTCAATTGTATGAATATATTTTTATAGAAAATAATAATTAAATATAGCTTTGTAAAGAAACATACATAAAAATATAAAATATTCTGAACTTTTTAAATCTTAAAACAATCCACTTAGTCAAATAGCTCCCTATGAGTGGCTAATGGATGGAATTGGAGACTGTCCCGGTAGGTGTGCAGTGTGTGCATGCATGCAGGCTGCCAAATCAGGAGGGTGCTGATACCAGTCAATGTGAAATGCCTCTTTTGTCGCATCACAAAGGACATGACAGGGTTGTTGTAAATTTTAAATGTTTCTCGCCATAGCTGTAAAAATCTAAATATGTTAAACTTAGAAAACAAATGACAGACAATTTATTAACTAATTCATTTTAGGACCACGTGTCCACAGAAATTTCCAAAATTTACAACTTTTTGGTCACTCTCATTGAACTGGAAAAATTTCTGTCTTTATTACATTTAATATTACCAAGAAATCAGTCCCCACTGTACTCGGCTAGAGATTGGTTCGGTTAAGCTTTTAAATAAAATTCCTGCTCTTTTGGCAGGGTTTTATTTATGTCCCTAATTCCCTAATCTCTAAATTATTTTACTTCTTAAATAGAAATAAGTTTAAACCAGTTACTTTGTACTTGAATATTTGTAGTCTTGGGAAAGAAGTGGAAAGACAAATTTTTATGACAATGGATACATAAATCGTAAATTTAAGGAAAATAAATTCTAGAACTTTTTTGTACCTTGTGTGAAATGCACAAGGTACAAAAATTCATTAAATTTAGTTGTAAATGATGCTGCCAAAGTAGCAGTTAATTTTTTAATATTGTACAAGAATTTTTTTGCATCCCCTTATAGTTGTGACATACTAAATTGTAATATCATTAGTTTAACATTGAAATCTGTAAGTGATACAAGATGGGAAAGCAGAATAAATATCAAATATTTTAATGGATTTTTTTTTGAACTTTTGCCAATTATACAGAATTATCATAAAAACATACCAGTAAATTCCTATCGGTTGGATTAAGTTATAAATCTACTTGCAATTCACATAATGGGGCAAGGGCTGCCAAATATGTAGCATGCAGGCGGCTAACAGCTTGGAACTGGTCCTGGATAGAATCATTGGAAGTGTTATATGATATTTTGGTGTGTAGCTTCCACCAGCTAAACCGTGTGAGGTTGGTGCTCTGTAAAGTGCATGCGTGAATGCTTATAATTGGAATGCTTCACACCATTCAAATATTTTCGTCGTGAAAGCTGTTCCGTATTTGACAATACAGCGCTTCCATTGGGAATATCCATATACAAATTTATATTCGAATATACAATAGCAATCATATCGTTTTTTTCACATATATTATAGAAATTTGTAATAAGATACATACTGCAGTTATAATAAAATATTAATTTTAATTAATTCAAAGTACGTTAAAACATGAAAATAATTGTGCAATATACAGTGGGTGATTGGTTAATGAACATAATCCATTCCAAGACTTTGTTCGTTATCTGAATTGTTCTTTAACCGATTATCGATTTACCATAGGTTTTATCGGAATTTGATTAATTTATTTTGGAAACTCTAAAAAATAAAAAATATATAATTTTTTACTATATTTATTTGTATGTAATAGTAAATATACATATGTATACAGTCTTGCAATTTTATTAGTCATGTATTTTTCTGTTTGTGGGGGTTAAAGAATCTGTCCAAGTCGATTGCTTTTCTCTTTTCTTCAGAATTTTTTGGAAGTAATTAATAGTATTGTAATTGTAGAGATCCCCAACCCCCATTAACCTTATTCTGGTTTGGACGCCACTTGGATGATTGTTGTTCTGACATCCTCCCACTTCTTCAAAAGATCTTTAGTAGCAGATGTCGACACTGGTCCTCTTTCGTCTTTCTCTTTTTTGAAAGAAAACACATCTCGCTGAGTTTCTTGGTATTCTTTATTTGAGAGTTCTTGGAGTTCTTCTGTTGTCAGATCAGTTTCAGGTTCCATTGTGAGCTTTAAAATGCTCCTTATTTCTCAGATGTGATTTTCATTACTCCATTAGCAGCTTGAGACTTTTTGATATATCTTTCATAGCTAAGATTGTGCCTACTGTAGACCTGTTCAAGCCTTGCTGCCTAGCAATATCAGACATCTTGTGCCCACTTTCTACCTTGGCTATTATCTCTTATTTGGTTTCTACGGTGAGCACAGGTTTTGACACTCATTTCTTTTAGGCTTTACATTTAAAAAAGGAACTGATAATATTATGAAGTTCAGAAAAGCACTTACAAAAATTCAGAGAACAGAAATCAACTTGCCCACAAAAAATTGTTTAAATGCAAGGCCCAAATGAAATTCAAAATTTGGTATTAAAACGTTAACGAAAATCCAATGGGATAATTAAACTTTCACCTTTTGTAAGTAAACCTTGACGCAAAACTTAACAAGTGCCTGTCTGACAGTCTTGCAAATACTATAAAAATTATTTGTCAGAAAGGTAAACAAAAAGCTGGAATAACAAGGGAGAGTTTCAAAATTCGGAGGAGTACTATCTGATCGGTATCGGGATGAGTGTCGATGTTGACGTCTCCCGCACTCTGAAAGGTTTTGAATTGTTACCTGAAGACAAGGGAAAATTAATCAGTATTCATTATTTTCCATTGCTTCTTTTTATGTTTGTTCAGTAAAGTGTTCATTGTCCGATCATAAAAATATTTTGTGAAAGTGTTTGTTATCCGAACTGTACATTAACCAATCACCCACTGTATGTTATATTTTAGAAAATACAAGGCGGCATGCAATCCTTGGAAGCGGCAGTTCCATTGCTTCCAAGGACGGCACGCCACTATTGGTACTTGCATATGACATTATGCTTACATAGAAAGATGCTCAAAATGACTACTGTGCATATCAAGGAATGCAGGCACATGCTACATAATGACTGACTGCACATGTTCCAGCATTATGTTGTCCACAAAAATGTTCATGTGAAGATCAGCAACCAAGTTCGTGTGCAGTCAGCCATTATGTGGAGTGTGCCTGCATGCCTTGATATACACAGTAGTCATTTTGAGCATCTTTCTATTTAAGCAGAATGTCATATGCAAGTACCAATGTTCATGTTTACAATAAAGCTTATTCTTTGTGCACTGGATGTGACACCATACTTTTTCTTTTGCATTTTTCTCAAACTATGAGTCATAGAGATATAGTTATTTGGTCTTTTTTTTTCTTTCTTACGTACTTCATGCAAGGATGCTCACTCTGCATGTTTATGCAGTCTTGATGGGACATCCTGTATATACAGTATTATTTTTAAACTTTTTTTAACAATTCACTCTTGCAATTTTTTTATCGACAGCTTTAGGGCACCTCATACATTTTGTATCCTTTCGTTCAAAATTTCCCTAACTGAAATTTTTACACAACATTTGCAATGTTTAAAGTTTAGGCGCATCTTTCCCATACACATTACAAATTTCTTTTTACAACAAAGATGAAATATCATTATCAGTAGCGTGGCAAACCCTGATATATGACACATAACGGAATGAAACGTAGGTTCACAACGGCACATGTGCAAAGGATGACGACGATTGCACGAATTTCAGAGATGTTCCATATTCGGAATTCTTTCAAAAAAGATCGGCTCAATCGAATGTTAACTGATTTGCCCGTTTTTCACCTGAAGAAGAATCGAAAGGTTCGAAAACGTTAGTGAAAGAAAGTATAGTGAATTAAGCACCGTTTTGGTTTATACTAGAAGTAAGTTTTTTAATTTTTTTTTACTTTGTACAATCGTTTTCAAAATTTATAAAGCACAATATGCCTGATATGCTTTTTAGCCGAAGACATTTCAACTCAATTTTATTCAAACAAAATGTAAAATAAAAAAATAAGTTTTAAAATAAGTTATTAAACAAAGATTATAATCTTGCATTAACAATATAGTGTTAGATTTTACAACTGTTATAATTAAATTGCACATCAGCATTATGTAATGGCAGTTTTTAAAACTACACATAAACTTTCCACTCAGCCCAATGTAACCTTCACTTATTAATTGTTGCATCTAAGCTAAGTGTGTAGAAGTAATGAAATTTAAAAGGAAATATTGGTAATTGAAATGAAAAAAGGAAGTTTTTACAAACCACGAAAGCAGTACATTTGTGGCAGATATGGTATCCATGTTTCAGATGCCAGAGACGACATGTGTGCTACCACTAAATGTAATTTTCATTTTATTATATAGTATTTGATATTTTACTTATTATTTCATGTTTTAATTTATTATTGGCATTTAACTGTGTTATTTTTACCTTAAGTTATGTGTATTTGCTGTTTTAAGTTTATAGAAATGGGTATTGTTCAGGATCTGGGAATGAATTGAATTTCCATTAAAAATAATGAAAAAATTGCTTTGGACTTCGAATGTCCTCCCAGAATGAATTAAGTTTGAAGTGCGAGGCATCACTGTGTTTGTTATTCTGTCAAACATTAGAATTTCTTAAGAAATCAGTAACAATAAATCTACTATGATTGTTAGATTACCAACGATCATAAATTATGCAATTTCCATAATCAATTATTAAAAATTAAAAATTTGATTTTGAATTTTTGTATAATTTTTCTCCTCAATTTTAAGATCACAAAATACCAAGATAACATGACTTGTGAATTCTGTGAAGCTATGGTTCAACATCTTAGAGACTTAATTCTTACAAATACAACAAAAGTAAGCATTACTTTATTTTATTTTAGTGTTGTAAAATTAATTTTAATAAATTATATTTTCATTGAAGGAAGAATTTAAAACAGCATTATTAAATTTATGCTCCCTTTTTAAAAACTTTGCTTCTGAGGTAAGATATATGTTTCCAGTAGTTTCTAAAATTTAATTTGAAACAGATTTCCATTAAAATCATATTCTTAATATAAGTTATTTAAAAAACACTAAAATTTAGTTGTTTAATAAATAAAAGTTTTTGATTGATTAATATTTTTCTAAATAATAAACAGTTAAAAAAATTCTTGGTTTTTTTCTTTAAATGAAATTGTTGTTTTCTCTATTGTAATAAGATTAAATTTAATTTAATCAAAGAAGATGCAGTCTGTCCAAAAATATTTTTTGAAAACCACCTTTATTCTTATCATGTGTTCCAGAACACCTTTGAAGACCGGGCCTTTCTTTTGAGGCTACTAGGTCGTCAGGTTAAAACATTCCTTAAAAAACACACAAAAATATCCAATTAAAACAATAAATACAATAAATTTCACCAGATGATAAATTCTACAAATGAAAATTTTCAAAATAATTCTCCACCAGAGGGATAAGACCAAAATCTACATTTAACAGCGCATTTACCAAGTGGATATAAAGGCCTGAAATTTCCTAACTGGACGGATGAAAACTCAAGACGTCTGTAAGACCACCAGTTCCAACTTTATACTTTATTGTTTTAATTGGATATTTTTGTGTGTTTTTTATGGAATCTTTTAACCTGACGACCTAGTAGCCTCAAAAGAAAGGTCCGATCTTCGAAGGTGTTCTGGAACACATGATAAGAATAAAGGTGGTTTTCAAAAAATATTTTTGGACAGACTGTGTCTTCTTTGATTAAATTAAAATTATCATCCGGCAAAATTCTACAAAAGATTAAATTTATTAATATAAGAGATGGCAACTCACAACTACTTATCCTTACTTCAAATTACTTTGGGTTAAATCTGGTGTTATATTGGATTATTAAAATGTTTCAGGTTTTGTTGTTATATCTATATATATATATATACGCATGCAATAGTAAAGGCATTTGCCTGCTCTGACTGACCTAGGTTTGAGTTCAAATAGGCAGTAAAGTAGGCTTACCAGATAAGTTGTGTCCCATTTCTCACCAGCTGGCAACCTCCATTGTGAACCTAGTTGAATCCACAATGGACATAGAAAAAAGTCTCTGCTGCATAAGTGTTAAAAAAGTCAAAAACAAAAATAAATTCAATATCAAAAATATAGCAATCCTTTCTAATCCAGCTCCTATTTTAACTAAATGTAAAAAAAACCTTACCACTGGGGGGTATTTAAATTTCTTTACTAAACGTTTTTCGAATCTATTTATGAGCTCTTGTCGGGTAAATTGTGTTCGAATTTGGAAGAACGTCGAACATTTCTTTACAAATTTAAAATGAAATTAACAAGAATATAGTTAATGAATTTTTTAACATTCTGTTGAACTCCAGCTGTGTTTTGAAGCACTTTTCAATTTTTTATACCAACCAGTTCTAGATCCAGATAGAGAGAACACATGCTAGAAATAGCAAACCTAATTTGCAACTCTTCATTTTTCTCCTTCAATAACTGAATTTTTAAACAATGGGATGCCATATCTGGCCTTTTATGAGAACTAGTGGTAAGGAATAAAGAAAACCAAGTTATCCCAGAATTTGAAGAGGACATATTTAATGTATAGAAGATATATTGATGATGTATTTATTTTATGGAGGAAGGAAAATAGTATTTCCAGATTTATAGATGTAATAAATGACAATGAAAGATTGAAGCTAAAACTTATACAAGTACTAAGTTATTTTTACGCCTTTTACAACGATTAGTGACACAACTTTGTGCTGGAAATATTTGTTACCTAACGGGTACTTTACAGCACAGCGCCAGTGGATGCAAGGGGTGACCTGAAGGACGACAAGCACTAAGTACACAACTTCCTGTACACAGGCTCAGTTAGACCACTGTAGTTGTGTGTTTACATTCTTCCATTCGCAGCAATAATGTGACATCAATGGATGGAAGGGTAGCTACCAAAGTGAAGAGCGGTCAAGCACTTCCTACCGCTGTAGACACTTTAGTTCAAATTTCCAGCTATAGATTCCTTATATCAAAACGTTCAAAATTTCATCCTCTACAATCCCCCAAAATTTTTAAAACGTCATTCTGATACATCCTGTATAAAAGTATATATAGGATGTTCAGATTTTATGTATCAATATATGCAATTTAACAATTTTTTTCCATTTTTCTTTGATAGACATTAGAGTTTCTACTGTAGTAACTTCTATCCAGTTTGAAATAGTTTTTACTAAAGTCTTGATCAATCTATGACTTTTAAGTATTATAATGAATTTTCAGTTATGAACAGATTTTATTCTATAAATAATTGCTTCTTTTATTCAATATATTGATGTAATTTTTGAGATTCTTTTTTCAGTTAATATAATATAACTAACATAATTAATTTATTATTTTGCAGTGTAAAGAATTAGTGAATGATTATTTTGATATGCTTTATGATCTACTGGATCAAGTTTTGGTAAGTTAAGCATTTATTTCATGAACATTTTTAAGCTACTTTAATTTTCATTTTTATATATCTTGCTCGTTAGATACTTACTGGAAGTTGTACAAGTGTGTATAATTAGTGTAACAGAATTTATTCATTTATACTTTATTATTATGCATTTGATTTAACTTGTCATTTTGAAACTTTGAAAATTTTATAAAAATTATGTTTCCAAGTGTATATGTGACTTAGTTGCTATTAATGTCAAATACTATACTGAATCAAAGTAAATACTTAGTTACTGAAACATTTTATTGTGTGTGCAATATTAATGTACTGTACCTAATCAGAAACTTTCTAAATAAAGATAATATGACTGTTTTCTGAGTATGTTATAAGTTTTAAAATAATTTTGTGTAGTAATGTATGGTATGGTATTTATGGAAAGAAAAATGCTGGCACAATGAATACCTTATCCGTTACCTAAAGGTGTTTTTATTTTACACAGATTCTGAGTAATTATTGATTTTTATTAGCATAGATATTTGGTATGGATACATTTGACATATTTTGTTTTGTTAATCTATATATAAATGGGAATGTTTTTTATTTGTTCACTATGCACTTGTAGACCATTTGACCAATTTCTATGAAATTTAGCAGTTACATTCATATAATTCTAACTTAACTAATGTCATACATCCTGTCGCAAAATATCGATTGAATTTCTACACATCAATTTCTGTCTACATTTCATTTTTTGGCTTTACATATAAATGTCATCAATTGGTGAACAATTTTAAAAATAGACAGATAAAAAATTTATACACAAAAGGATGTGACCAATATAGCAACACATCCCTGATATGTTATTGGAGACAAAATGTAAACAAATGTAAAATCACTTGATTTAGTCATTTCTTAAGTTTTAATTAGTTGTTACATAATAAAAGAAATTATGTAAATAATCACTTATTATATTTGATTGTTGTATAAGTTTTCCACAATTCTTATTGTTTTCATTATATTAGAACTTATTAAAGAGAATAAAGGTTTGATTTATATGTATGTCTAAGAGATGGTATCAACAGTGATGTAACTGGAGGAGAGCTTAGTTAACTTTGCATTCTTCATTAAATTTTGTAGGCAGGCCACATTGCATCTTGTGCTTTCTCAATAATAAAATGATGTTTGTTCACACTTATGATTGACCTGATCTATTTATTACATCTATATGCAATGTTAAATGGAAAGAAATTCAGGACAAGTTACTACCTGGACAAACACATTCATAGACATGACCTTGTAGCCAGAGTTTTTCACTTAAAATTATTAAAATTGATGAACTTAATCTCAAAATATAATATTTTTGCACATGTCTTATGCTATATGCACACCATTGAATGACAAAAAAAATGACTTCATGCTCATATTTTTATTTGGCTGGCCAATAAAATTCAAGCTGATCAAATTAATTTCATTATCTCAGCTAAACTTCCAGAACCCATTGCAGACGAAGAACTCTTTGAAATAGTTCAAACTCAAATAATGCATGGTCCATGTGGTTTTTTTTTTAAATTTTAATTCACCTTGTATGAAAGACAATAAATGTACAAAACATTATCGAAACAGTTTATAAAAAAACAGACAGGACAAGGTTGTTATCCGTTATATCGCAGAAGAAAACCTGTTGGAGGTTTTACAAGATTTGGACTTCATGAAATTGATAAAGATGGATAGTTGTAGATCAAAACGAAATTGTTAGGTATCCAACAGAGTTCTTAAATTCTTTGAATATCCAGGATTGTCTCCTCACAAACTACAACTTGAAGCACCTATAATATTTCTACTGGTCATTGAAGCACAAATATAAACTGGTTGTGGCAAGGGTGAATATGATTTTAATCTTAGGATACCTCTTTTAACATCAGAGGTGCCATTTCAATTTAGACAAATACAGTTTGCAGTAAGACTAAGCTTTGCCATGTCAATTAACAAATCACAAGAGCAAACTTGAAAGTTGTTGGTCTACTAATGGAGAGTAAACAAATACTTAGCAGTTCCTACCCTAGAGCATCCTAAATATGGTTGAGCATGAGAAAAACATTCTTTTTGTAATTACAGGCTAATTTCAAGAAGAATGTTTTTTTTCATCATCAACCATATGTAGGATGCTCTAGGGTAGGAACTGCTAAGTCTTTGTTTACTCTCAATTTGGAAAAACATGCAACATTTTATATAAAGAAGCATTATAAATTTTATTTTCAAATTCACCATTCTTTGATACATGTTTTGTTTATTTCTCACATCAGATTTTGTTAACTTACTAAATAATTTCCTGAAAAAATACTAATCTACACATTTCAAATCTAAACATTCTGTTTTTTGTCCCTAAATGGAAAGAATCTGCTCAATTTTCACTTTTCACTGCTTCATAAATTATTTTCATGGTAATTTATACCAGGCAACACATGCTTATCTGCTAGTATCTGTGTTGTGATGGACTGTTTTATCCTTTACACATATAGTTATAAAGTTAGTTATATCATTGTGGTTTTTCTTCCTAATACTGTCTATGAATTAATCTGAAGTGTGTGTGTGTGGTTTGTTTTTTTGTTGTTTGTGCAAGTTTTTTGATTTATTTGATTAAATCTATAGAAATAATACATGCATGCTAAGTACTTGCATTCTGATGTAGTGTCTACAGTGTGACAAATTACATTTTTTTATATATGTTTTTTGTTATCCTTTTTTGTAACTTTTTTAATCTGATCTTGTATAGCAACAATGAATCTTCTCTTCCCAAAGAGATCAAGCCAGTTGGTAATTTACTGCAACTTTCAATGTAACTAAGATTAAAGGGAAGTACTGTATACTATAGAAGTTTCTGAACTGAGGATTATTTAATATGTGATGTTTTTTAATATTTTTACTAAATTACTGTTTTATGTAATTGCTTTTTGTTTTTGTAAAAAATTATTCGTAGTAAATGTTAGTTAAACCTAATGTTCCTCTTTAGAAGAGACAGATTTTATGATATTATTTATGCTTAATGTTTTCTTCTGTAATTGTTCTGTTTCTCCAGTATGTAATTTTAAATGGAGATATATGAACATTAAGATGACACGTTTATTTTAATTATTTTGTTTTCGGATTTGGTATTACTAAATTTAACCTGTTACATTTTTTTAAATCTATAGGCCAAATAAAGCACTTAGTCAAGTAAATCCTAAATATTTATAGATTTCCATTTAATTAATGGTGTCTCTGTTTCAGTGTTGTATAGGTTATTATTATTAACCCTTGCATCCTTAAGGATGGGTTATTCCTGACCATGATAGCTATTTATTTTTAATTATTGGATGACTTTTAAAGATTGATATGCTCTGCCAGGACATTCAGGATTGTATGTCTGTGCATCTTTCATGTTTTTATATGATCAGTTAAGAGTAAATCTGCTGGTTTTTGTATTTACTTTGTTCATGAACAAATTCTTAAAAGTCTGAAACACAATCTCTGCACTAGCTCTCCTTCTTAATTTAAAAAACTTTTTTGTTGAGAGAAAAAAATTCTTTCCCGTTTTTGTTTGTTTTTACTTCCAGTTTTTACAAGTGTTATAATCAAAGCTTGATCCCCTGATCTGACACTTTAATTAAATTTTTAACACGTGAGCTCGAGTCTTGCTGGGGTCTCAGTAGATTCAATGGACCATAACTGTCAAAAGTAAAGAGAAGTAAAAGGAGCTTGCTACTATCAACATCTGATGGACATGTTGAAATTTGTGCCATAAATGTCACAATTATATTTATATCAAAAGATTTGTTGTTAACAGTAATTTTGAAATATATAAGAAATTATTGTAGTTTTTAAAATTGTTTCTTGAATATATTTTTCTTTAGTTTAGTTTACATAGTTCAAAATATAAATATAAAACATTTGTAAAATATTTTTCTTTAATTAGAACCCTCAAACATTATGTACATATTTGGGACTTTGTTCTTCAAGTAAAGTTGAAGCTAAAATAATAATAACTCCTTTAATTAAAATGTGGAATGGTAAACATGGTGAAAGAGTACAACCTTCAACACAGTCTGGTCCCATAACGTCTCTTCGTAATTCAATTCCTGCAGTGAAAATCTTGCCTAACTATATTACTCATGAAAATAAATACAATAAAAAAGAATCAAATGATATTAAATGTAAGTATTTTTCATCTCAACTTAAATAATAATTCTGAAATTACTATTATGTTGCACTAACCTTGTATAGCTTTGCAGTTTATTTTAGAAACGTAACACTAACATTTTCGATCCATCCTAGGACCACCTTCGGGTGTTCCATAAAATTTTTCTGGTGCGATTTGAGTTTGGTTTAGCTTCCGATTTTAAATGTTTTAGTTTCAAATGTTTCTATCTTCAAATTTAAATTTAAAAAAATAAAATCACTGTACAAGGTTTTATTGCAAAGCTATACAAGATTAGTGCAGTGTATTAGTAATTATCATTTTGTTTGATGGGTGGATTTAATATTAACTTTAGGCACTAATTAATGTCAGTAATAGATAGTTGTTGTTTTATATTTATCCAAATTATCATTTCATAAAGTTTTAGTAGTCTTTTTTTTAGCTAGTTTATATTAAAAAATTTCAACAAATTTTATAGATCTATATAATTTTGATAGGAAAAGCTTCTTTTAAAAAAGCTTTAGGTTAGGAACATTGAAGTAATATATTTTATTTTGATAGTCAAATCTGATAACTTAGAAAACGTTAAAGCCAATTTTTAATACTTATTGCATATTTCATTACTGTAAATTCTCAGTAATTGCCTATGGCCAGTCACATGTGGCACTGCTGTTTTGAATTAAGTTTTTATTGGAAAAGTTTCACTTAATAATTTATGGGTGATTATGTGAGACTGCTGTTATAAGAATAATCAGGAAAGATTTTTAATTGAATTTTTCTATTTAGTTTGGAATAATAATAAAAACTTTTGTTCCAAATTTCTTTGTGTCATCATTTCTTGGCAATTGAAACACAAGACTGTTTGTTTGTTTTTCTTTTGTTGTTGAATATTTCTGTAAGTTTGTAACATTTTTCACTAGACTTTTTTAATGGTTTATCAACTTCTCTATTTCTGTTAGGTTAGAATTACTAATCAGTTTTAAATTCACAAAGTTTCAACGCTATATTTTAAAAAAAATTTTATTGCAATATTTTCTGACAAATCGTAGTGATTATTTCCCCCACCAATTCAAGGTTTGTCACAAGTTACCAAAACTTTGTTAAAAAGTGTCCAGTAATAATAAATGCACTAAATACTGGATAATATTCAAAATACTTATACAACAAAAAATCCAGCTTTTGAAACACAATGATGGAGAAAAACGAACATTTTCGATTGCTTCTAGCAATTATTCTCAAGTTAAAGAACTTACTCAGAAATGTATATCAGAATAGAATGTGTGATGGAATGTAATATTTAAAATATAAAACAAACATCTGATTGGCCATTAGATGTCACGCATTTGTATTGTGATGTAAATATCTAGACATAAAAGTAATATTAAATATCCAATAATGCCCTTCAAGCTAGGAATAATGTGTTGTTTTCCTTGTAGTTGATAGCCGAGTTGTTTATATTCATTTTGTAAATTTCCAGGTACTAAGTAGAGGAGGCTTCCATGTATGATGAATGAGACATGCATTATCTATGTCGGAGATGGGCAACCCGTGGCCCGCAGTAATATTTTTTGCAGCCCAAGTAAAATATGAATAAATATATTAATTTCCCAGCTTAAGGAAGTATGCAGCAAAAATTCAAATCTTATTTTCTACAACTTATGTATGTGAATAGTTTTTCCACAATGAATTTAGTAAAAATTAAAACAAAAAACCAGCTAACAGACACATTGAAACTAATTTAAAGCCAGCAGTGACTAATATTTAGCCAAATATTTCTGATATATTATGTTTACATCAGTTCCATAAGCTAAATTAAGTATACCTATGCTAATTTATAATTATATATGAATAAATAATTCTGATTTACCAACATTTTTTTCATCTTTTTTCTTGTATGCGACCTGTGTCAGTTCAAAAGTTTTGCAATGCAAGCCTTACATAGAAAAAGGTTGTCTATCCCTGATCTACATTCACCTGCACATCCTCGTCTGAGGCATATGTGGCTAAAGCTGTAGTAGTTTGCCTTTTATTAATTGAAATAAAATGTTTTTGGAGACATGGTTTTTATGAATGTGTGGTAGCCCCAATGTTTTGAGTTGTCAACCGTTCCTTTTGTGACCATCAGGTGTTAATCTTTGTCAGGACTGACACCATTTTAACATCTGTCAGGATAAGAGGGTTACATATGTTACGCGAGCGGTCGCAGATGTGATAGTTCAGGCGGATGGAGTGAAAGACAGCATACTGGAAGTGACTCGCGCAGAGACTAGGTTAACGTAACAACAGTTTAATGGGTACTGATAGACTATACATCTTTTACATTAAGTGGTTAAGTTCTTTAGACGAGGAATAATGCGCAAACAAGAGAGAGAGTTTACAATTTCAGTGTGGCGATAATTACTTTGAGGTCGTGTAAGCCTTTGAGGTTCAACAGTTTCGAATCGGCGACGTTGATAATAATTTTAATAAAAGGCACTTAATTCGTTGGGTTTCTGATGAAATAATCCAAGGGTTTGGCACTTAATATGTTCGTAGGTAAATCCAAAAATGTGCACTGCACAGACACGATGAGTTGGAACAAAAAAACTTCTAAGGGTCGGATGAAGACAGTAACACGGAAAGAACGTCGACGACTGCGACAAAAATAGGTTTGTAGCTATATTCATTTGACAACTTTTCAATAATAGGTCAGAAGGTTATGTGAAAGTGTTCTTTAGCAACTGAGAACTTGCTGAGTGATTAACTCCCAGGTGTGAAATTTGATACTTAACCGATAAAATAGTATTGTTAATGATTCAGGTCAGGCAGTAGTTTAGTAAACAAGGCTGAGTCTCTCACTTTTCCTGAAGTGGTATGGAGTGTACTTCCAGAAGGAACATCTTATTGTGAGGGTCCTTGGTGTTTCATATAGATGGTGGGGTTCCTCTTGTAGGCCAAGGAAAGGTTGTTGTCTCCTGCCACTTCTTGATATATAGCCATCAGGGTCTTGTTATACTGCATAACCTTGAATTTATGTTCTGCCTTTCTCATATTTTGGTATTGCTCCCCATATTTGTTTTATCTTACTAAACATTTTATTAATGTAGGTGGGTACTCGTGCTGGATAGCCTGCTGTTTTATGTATCACAGTTCATGAGTTCCCTCCTTGAAAGTAGAAGTCTGTGAATGCCCCTTTTACTGAGGTTCTAAAAGCCACTACTTCATATTGGAAGGGATCATGTGAGGAGGATGGGATGAAAATTGGATTGTTTGTGGGTTTGTGGTACACTGGTGTGATGTGTTAAATTCTACCATCCTGTATGCACATGTTGATATCCAGGAAATGTGCAGCAGATGTATGATGCTGTTTCATGTGTTAAGTGGACACCAAAAGATTGTTGTTGAAAGAATCGTTTTCAAGTATTTTAAAGTTTCTTGTAGACTGTTGGTCACTGGCCTCCTATTTATGTGTCCACATCCATCAGAGTGGGAACGAGAGCTATTCAATCTGTTCTACAATTTTTGTGGAGCCTTTAATTGAGCAATTGGCAATTACAAGAGGATTTACAGTATAAATTATTTGCTTTTTGCTATAAAATCTATTATTTGGCTTATTTAAATTTCACTTAAAAGCTTTTCTTGGCCAATTTCATTGGCTTTTTGAAACAAATTTCATTATTGTCAACTTATTAAAGTTATCAAGATTACATTAATGAATAAAATGTTTTCCAAGAAATTTTCTCCTTCTCAGCTGTAATGATTAAACAATAAGAACTTAAGTTTAAAAGTTCGAGTTTATATTGATATATTTATAGATGTATGGTTTTTTTATTTGCATTACTAAATATAAAATTGATTTATATATTTACTATTGCTTGAATTGAATTTTTGTTTTAAAAAGATTGCAGGAATTTAAATATATTAGCAAATTAAAATATTTAGTGTAATGGAATCAGACAATGAATGTATTTTATTAATTTGTTTTAGCAATTATAAATCAGTTACCAATAGAAAGGTTGGGACATCCAATTCTTTCTTTCAAGCAAGATACAGACTGTGCCTTCTGTAAAGCTGTGATGTTTTTTCTAAGTAAAGATATCAGTCAACGAAATGAGGTTGGTTGTAATTTTTAAAGCTTCAATGTTTTATTTTTAGAAGTTTGTAAGTCTTAAATTTTTTAAATTTTTCTTTTCCTGTATTGTTTAAAGAAAATCATTGAAGATTCTTTGGATAAAGTTTGTACAAAATGGATTCCGAGTTATTCAAAAGAATGTAAATCATTTGTGGATAGTTACAGTAAGAAAGTTGTTGAATTATTACTACTTGGTGTGAAATTTGAAGAAGTTTGTGATCACTTGAATACTTGCAAACCAGAAGAAAAAATTCTGGGTGAGCATGGTTTACCAAAATGCTTTTGAGAAATTCGCTTTTGATTAATATTTAATTTTTAGATCATATTTATTAAGAATATTTTTATTGGAGACTAAATTATTATTGTATGTAATAAATTTATCAGATTTTGATATGTTTTATAAAAAACATATTGTTTGTAATAACTGACTTTGTAGAGAAATAACTGTACAAAGTCATCTTCAACCATCAGTTTGATTTTTATTTTAAAATAAAAGTTTGAAATAAAAATAATAATAAAAATTATTTTTATTTCAAACTTTATTTATAACAATATAATGCATAATAAAAAAATACATAAAAAAGCAATGAAACATATTAATTTGGTATACAAATAGTGCTTCAATCAGTTTTTAAATTAAGAAATTGTTTTTTACTGAGTTTTTTCCTGAAAGTTCAAATTAACTTATTACACAATTCAAGATACACACAAACTCTCATTTCTCATTTATATCTTGGTGCAACAAAAGATTTAATTTGGTCAATAGAAATTGGATCTGTTTCAGGGGATATAGGGTGACAGGATGGGATAGTTGTGCGGTAATTTGCTTCTAGAAAAAAGGAAAACCTTTAAATAGCCAGGCTTGTGAAATTTGTGCATAGATTTATGGTTGAAGAGAGAAGAGAAAACTGCGCAATGAAATTAAACAATGTTGCAAAATAAATCTGTGACAATTAGTGTCAATGGACTAATTGTTTGATTTTAAAATAAGATAGAATCTAGGAGAAGTTAGAAGCTCCCAGATAAAAAGACCATGTGCATGTCCAGTAACAGGTTTGATTTATCTGTTTTCAGGATGGATCAGAGAAGTTCATTGTAAGTTAACTTTTTGGATGTAACCATTTTTGTAACAAGAAAACAATATTGTACCAAAATATATAAAGCCATGTACCATCAGGGCCAGAGCATACATCCTAAAAATTTTGTGAATTAGTCAGTTTTTCATTTTGTAAATGTGAGTCAACTTAAGTAATCCTTGAGTCACATCAATCACTTTCAAAAAATGCATTTGTGTACTTTATATGACATTATAAGTTGAAATATATTGCAGATACAACTGTTAAGAAATACAGCATTGGTACTGTATATGTTTATAAATAACACTTGGGGCAACCTGATTTTTTCATTGTCCCATGCTCAAAAACATTATTTTGCTCTTCCCAGTTTGCACTAAATTTTGGAAAATTTTTTATATTTACATGTTAAATTATAAATTTAGCCAAAATTTTAGCCTTTTTCGCTTTCAAAAAAAATTATCCAGAATTTGCCCACAATTGTTCTGGGCATAAAAAAATTTGTGTATATCTCAGCTTGTCATTTTTCACCTATAATTTAGAAATGTAGGCATCAGTATATGACCATCTGCCCACCCTGATAAGACTCTGGCCCTTCAAGCCTGCCTACCTGTCAATGAAGTTATGACTTGGCAGAGCCAATCCAGTAAGCTTATACTCATTCAAGTTGTGCACATCTTAACCTTCACCCAAGAGAAGAGGTTCAATTTTGGTTAGATTGTTAGCCACTGTCACAGTATTTGCATTCTAGATCCTGTATTCTCGTATACCATACAAATATTACTAATAGTTCAATGTCAGATTTCAGTGAATCAGATTTGCCAACAAAATGTTGTGAGTCAGAGTTGTGGAAATATTAAATTTGACGCATAAAAGTGCGAGTAAACGAAAGCACTTATAAGCATGCATTCCCTGGCACTCAAATTCCATAGCTCATAAACTGGCAGCATATAGAGCCCTACTAAAAAGAACAGTTATTCAATCAACTCATGGTCGGCACAGAAAAGAAGAAATTAAAGTGATAATAGAAGCAGCACATAGACATGGGGTCCTGCAAAAAAGTGAAGTTGGTGAAAGCTTGTCTAAATCAACTAGATATAAAAAGCAAATAACAACTGAAGTAAAAAATGAGGAAGTTAGTGTTGCATAGTATTGGGCAAACTATAGCACTGATGATAACATTGAATTAGCAAAACAATATAACATCCAAGTAGTAATTAAAAGATTACCCTTGGTTGTACAGATAATTATAACAGACAGAAGTAGTGGCAGAAGTTAAAAAGCCTGGAATCTATGCCATTAGATTAAGCAAAGGAAGTAACAAATTTTTCTACATTGGATCCACTTACAGATCAGTGATTCTTGGGATCAGAGAACAGTTTGAATCCATTCCCCACAAACAGCATGATTTTAACTCAGTGGGCCCTAGAAGAAGTAGAAGTATGTTGGAAACAATCCATAGTACTTAGAAGCTGGTATGACATTAAGAATATAAGAATTCTGGAGCAATGTTTTATTTACATGACTTGTTCAGTTTTTTCAAGTCCTCTGTTCCTTAGATGGATTGGAGTGTTAGAAACATGAAATTGGAGATGATATAGTTATACAAAGTGTGAAAATTTTCACCTGAACTGAGAAATGATGTTGATATTGCAAACACATGAGTATTGATTTTAACAAATTGGAATGAAAATGTATAGTTTGAATTGTTCAATTTATCAAAAATGTTCAAATTCAGTTGGAACAGTGACTTGTGGGTTAAGAAGCTGAAGCGATCCTAAAACAGGACAAAAATGTTCCTTGATGAAAAATTTAAGCAGTTGACTACTTGAAAGTAAGCATTTTGTAAAGATAATATGGAACCAGAGAAGTACAATTACAGCTCTGAATGAAATGAATGTTGGGACCTTATCAGAGGTATAGATCATACTCAGTCAAAAGAACCATAACTCTACATGTGATTATTCGTCCCAAAATCAATCTATCGATACTTTCAGGACATGCATGATTGGGAGTCATTCCTTGTGCTCTGCTAACACTATCATGTTCAATTGTTTAGCCCATGTGTCTACGCCTGCTTTGACTTGACTGTTTGTGGCATACTTGATGTTATATAGTTCTAGAAGGTGTGGGTGCTCTCTTCCATGCAGGCACTGAGGTGCTTGCTGTTGTTTGCATCAAATCATGTGACTATATGTGAAAGGAGATAGTTTTAATACATGTGTGAAGTGTCAGTCAAGGCAAATGACAGCAAGCCTTGATCAATGCAGAGTGTGGAGTAAGGTTTCTCATTTCCCGGTCTTTTGCTTGTCCCTGGATTCTGGGATAAAAGTGAACTGTTTCCCGAAATTTCGGGATTAATTATTTTTAAGATATACAAAATATTGTGAAATTAAATGATACAATTATTTTTGATTTTTTAAAGTAATTTAATACATTCTGCAACCTCCATAATCATATTAATAATACTGTGTAAGATACATATTAAAAATTACCTTTGAATTACATAAATTTTCACAAATAGAAAAAATTTATTAAAAGTTTGCNGAAATCCCGGGATATAATTAATTCTTTTTAAGATATAAAATAAATCTTAAAATTGAATGATATAATTATTTTTCATTTTTTAAAGTAATTTAATACATTCTGCAACCTCCATAATCATATTAATAATACTGTGTAAGATACATATTAAAAATTACCTTTGAATTACATAAATTTTCACAAATAGAAAAAATTTATTAAAAGTTTGCTGGAAACTGCATACTACTATAACAACAACAACTACAATGCTTTGAAATGAGTTGAAAATTTAAAAAAAAAAATGAATCTAGATGAAACTTCTAACTTAGAAGGTAATTTTTGTTATTTAAATAAAACATAATACAAAATTTTATTGTAAATTTTTATAATAAGATTTTAAAAAGCAAAGATTGTCAATATTCCAATCAATCAATCTGATTCTTTAGTAATGAAAAGTCTCGCTACTGAGAATGCCCTTTCCAATTTAATTGATGTTAGTAGAATCGTCTTTAATGCATTTAAGAGAAGACAGATGTTATATGTTTTTTTTCACTTGTAGCATGGAAAATTTAGTTTGTTTTCAAGATTGTAGTACTTCTTTTGCTCTCTAGTATTCTTCATTTGTCTACCTCAGCTGCTTTAATAGCGGCATCGAGTTTATAGCCCGATTAATTCAGCAATTCGTTTGGCTTTAATAATCGGGTTTATGAAGAAAAACTTTATACTTGCAGACTTCGTACTCATTTGTATCCTTACCCAATTTGCACAACCTGGCATTAGACAGTTATTGATGCTACCGGACATGGTTAAAAATAAAGACAGCATAAGCGCAATTATTCCAGATATTACGGGTTTTGACAAGTAAATAATTTTTAGAGTCCTGCTACAAATAAGCTACGTATTGATTATTGACAATTTGTGACATGCCATAAGGAGGAAAAATTAAAAAAAAACTAATAAGTAGGTTTAAAATTAATAAATACAAATGTATTCTGACAGTTTTTGTGTTAATTATACTCTCTATTTGCAAAATTTCCTCAACCTTAACACAAAATAAGAAAAAAGTGAACTTTTAAGAAATTTGTGGGATTTCCTGGGTTAACAAAACAACCGGAATCTCGTTTGAGAAATCAGTGTGGAGAATAGGCAGTAGCACTGGTTGAAGGTAACTGTTTTTGATCAGTAGAACTTAATGCATTTATTATTTATGTTAAAAGCATTGGTTGCCATGCCTAAAACATAACTTGTTTGCAAACATAAGCAACAATTCATAAGCAAGATGGCGACCAAAACTGCTGCCATTGGGGTTCCACTTTGGAGGTGAATATCTCACAAATGGTTGCATGTCAGACTTTATTTTTATTAATAAATATCATTAGAATGTCTGACCACCATGCTAGGCTTAGCAGAGCATATAGCACCTGGAAGAAGTCTGATTTTGAGGGTGCTATATCTTGTAAAGAGTTGCATGTACAGGTATGCTTCCATTTAACTTTCTTGTACAAAGGTGTCTTCAATTCTGGGAAGAGGCAAATCCCTCAGAGTTCACATCTTACTGCCAGAAACATGAGGTAATAATTTTCAAATGTTGTTTTTAAATGAGATAAGGCCAATGTTATATTCACATTCTAAGATTGTATAAAAAGTTCAAATTTTTTAAC